TCAACACAACAGATCAGAAGTTTACTTGAGGGACTCAACCTGAGAGTTAGTGAGAATTCATTTTGACTTCTAGTCCATCAGATGTAAGAGATTTTTTTTTTTTTTTTTTTTGTGCCTTTACGCACAAATTGCAGATGGATTTATTTTTCAATGGGACTCTGGTGAAATCCACTTCAACGTCCCTGTATCACAACAACCTCTCCTGTCAGTCAACCCCATCCTCGTCGACCCCTCTGTCCAATCACAAGCCTCCTTTCTTTTTACCAGACTTTTAGGGCCAATCGGCAGCGGCCCTTCATCCCTCACCTCTCCAGCCGAGGGGAGGGGGTATGACCTAATTTGGCATTTCTGACCTTATATGGAGCACCGCCGGGGGGAGCAGCCGTATGAGGCAGCCTGTTAGTGACACTTTCCCCAAACTGCAGCTTTGACTCTCGGTGAAGGGACGTACAGTCGACGCGGGGAAGCACCACACTCGAGAGGCAAAGATTTGTCCCTCTGGTCCGGCTCCTTCTTCCACAGAGGATCTCCCAGAGCAGCTCTGAGGATGTCTGCGCGCTGTGTTGGGTAAATACATATCAGGGCGCACAGCACACCCACGTTGCGTATCCCACCCCCCCCAAAAAAACGCACCGACCTCTCCGCGGCGCGCTGGAACAAGAAGAACCGGGATTGTGCCACTTCTCCGGGCTTGTTCGGTGTCCGGGAGCTCGTTGCCTGCTGGGACCAAAGACGGGGCTTCGCCGACTGACATGCAACGTGGTCAGCGTTAAATGCGGCGTGCCATCCAAAAGGCAGAGTTTATCCTGAGTGAATCCAAATGCAGGGTTGAGATTGACTGGAGCGACGGACCGAGGTGAAACCGTCCCGTTCGCCCCGCTTCAGCCCGCAGAGGAAGACAGAAGCAGAACTCAGAGCAGCGGTTTGTGTTCGCGACTCTTTTTACTTTTCGGACTGACTTTTCTAAGAGGTGACTCTGCAGAACTACGTGTTTATGGATCGCTGCGCAGCGAGGAGCACCGGGACTTTCAGGCTACGCGCGTACGCACCGATCATGTCTACACCTCTCTGTTCCTGTGAACTTTGATAGATGTTTGCATTAATAACTCACAGATTGAGAAAAGAGAATTCAATCAATAAGCTCAGATAAAGTCAGACTGACCTGGAGGAAGTGGGAAGCGCCTTTTTTCGTCCTTCCTCTTTTTTTTTTTCCTCCTAAGACGTCAGGACGGATCTCTATCACCCAGCCTGACTCTGCTTCTGTGATTTAAACAAAGACCAAAGTGTTTGGGGATAGCATGGCAATGGTAGTAAACCAGTGGTCAGAGAACATTTCTGCAGATCCGGGGTCTCAGCTCCAGATTTGCGGCCAGGAGCCCGGCGGGGCACCGGGGACGCCCAACGGTTCCACCCCGGGGAACGACGCACTTTCCGGGGACAAGATCTCCAACGTGGACTGCATGGTGTGCGGGGACAAGTCCAGCGGGAAGCATTACGGTCAGTTCACCTGCGAGGGATGCAAAAGCTTCTTTAAGCGCTCGGTGAGGCGGAACCTCACGTACACCTGCCGGGGGAACCGAGACTGCCCCATCGACCAGCACCACCGGAACCAGTGTCAGTACTGCCGGCTGAAGAAGTGCCTGAAAGTGGGCATGAGGAGAGAAGGTAAGGCCCCTGCTGTTCTCTGTGGGTGTGTGGTGCATGTCAGCGTGAGGCTGTGGCACGAGGGGCATTTGTTTACAAACGCATTTCTGTGCGTAAAGTTGTTGTTCAGTGTAAAATATTTATCTTAACAGGCTATAAAGTCTGCAAGTAAAATATTTAACTGTTTCAAAACAGCCGAGGCTCGTGTTTCCAATGCAGCTTCACTAGTTTTACTACTTTTCTAAAAAATCAAATTGCCTGTTTTTGCAGCAACATATTAAAAAGCAGATTATTTCCTTTTGTGGCGAGAAAAAACAATTAAAGAAAATTCTGGACACGTGGATTTGGACCGGGGAGTGTTGCCTCACCACGCTCCACTTTAGTTAGAAAATGTTAATCATTTAAATAAACGTGTCTCTCACTTTTAGCAGGTAATTTTTTTTTGTAATTTGTCACCTCACATGCCAAACCAAAGAAAAAGGTGCCAATGGGAGATGTTGTGCGTAAAATACGCATCATGCGAGTTTTTCGCCTGCAGATCCAAAGCTTGTGCGCTTCACACAGTTTTTATGAGTCAACAATCCGCCACCACCTGCGCTTATTTCACATTCATTTACCGAGTCTAAAACCATTCAGCCCCGATGCGCCCCGCTCTGTCAAATCCCCCCTTTGTCCCCCTGTTTTAATTATGCTGTTTGCTCACCGACACCCAGAGCCGCCATAAGAAGATGCCGCTACATTTGTTGTGTTGTGTTGGATTAGCAACGGGTCAGTTGGTGCCAAAGAGGAGCAGTGGCAACGTGCTGGTGCAGAGGAGCGCTTCCCCTTATTAATTATCCTGCAGCAGCGACACCCAATTCAAGAGAGAGAGATGCGATGGTGCATATTTTATAGTGTTACGCAAATGGAGCTAAAAGTCAGGGGGGTTCCGTGTTTGTGTTTTCTGCATTACAGTTGAGAGATTATTCAAAAAGTCCAGACTACTTGGCTTTAAATGCAAAAGGACGCACACACACTTTGATTGTCTCTCGACTCTTTAATTTGCCCTCTCGGTGGACACAGAATGGTCAGCTGCAGCCTCACGCACCCGAGAGCTGCGTTGCTCAAGGACACCTCGGTAGGCTGTTGAAGGACAGTGTCTCCACAAGGACCCCGCTGCCACTTGTTCTCTGCCTGAGCCAAAATGTAAATGTGGAGATGGTGTAAATACCCTCACTGCTCCACTGAGAGGATGGGATGATGCCTCAAGGGTTCCCGCCATTGCACTACTTTGTGAGTGAGTGAGTGAGTGTGTGAGTGAGTGTGTGAGTGTGTGTGTGTGTGTGTGCGCGTGCTCACCTCACGCAAAACACCCGCAGGACACGCACACTCGTCCACGCTGACTTCCGACTGAATGAATCTTTAATCGCCTGACGTCTTTACGGCACAAACTATCCATCGTCATCATCATCTTCATCATCATCATCATCATCATCATCATCATCCTTGAAACAGATGATGTGAAAGATAAAAATCTAGTTCCACAATATTTATTTCGTCTTATCTGTAGATAAATAAACTTTAAGTGAAAAACCTAAAAACGTAGAATATGAGTTTTAGAGAAATAATTTCAGCGTCAGTGATGCATCATGGAACTTTTTGTGCGACCTTAAAACCCTGCAGGAGCATATTGAGACTTGAGCCTGTTCTCACACTGTAGTTATTCTGACTGATTCCGATGTGCATATAGGCACAGAGCATTTTCAGCTAGATTTAAATTCACTCAAAATGCTGTTAGACATGTTACTAATTTATAATCGCTTCACTTCTTGCTGTACGTTTTCTGCAGTTGCTGTATTTGTATGAAAAACACTTGAGAGCTGAGCTCATCTGGGGCATTTGAGGTCAGTGGGATTAAACGGTGTCCTTAAATCCTCTTTGTCGCCTGACTTCTGTTCAGCACAGATCATTTGTCTACTTAGGACACAATTTGCAAAGACGCATTGCAGGGTCCCTTAATTGTTTCAGCAAATTTTATGGTAATCAAACAAAAACACGCCGAGGATTTAAAATTAATTAAATGTAACTGCCACTTTATGATATAGGAATAAAAACAAAGTTTAAACATTTGTGCGAACGATCAAAGATACATCCTGTCATAATTATTAAATTTATAACCCCTGCAGTAAATCAAACACCGCCCTGTCCTCTAAGTTAACAGATTAATGTGCCAACTGAAGAGTGTCAGGATGGTTAAAGCAAACAGCCTCGATGGTGCATTAATGCACTAATGTTTCCATTATCTTATTCAACAGGTTCACCTGTGGAGGTGACTCAGTGTTTGTTCTGTGATCAGAGGGAGATTTGCATTTGTTTGATATTTCCAACAATGTTCAGAAGTCAGTGAGAAGATGGTGAAGCAGCCGATGTGGTTGATTCACGCGGGCAAATACCGTTTGTTGAGTTTGACACGTGAAGCCTTTTTACTTAACTCTGACATGTCCCAACATTTGGGTCACAGTGTACTTCACCTCCTGACGGAGTGAGCGCCAGGACTGAGGGAAAGTGCTGGTTTCATGCAACCCCTCCTGTCACTGCAGCTCTTGCAGGAGTCGGTTGCGTTCTCTAAAGATCCCAGTTTTCAGGCAGCGGAGCTTTAATACTTTAGTAGAGTTTAATATCACTAATACTGCTGCGTGACTTTGCTGTTTACTCCACATTAATATTTAGCTGCTGAGACGTGCTTCAACTTTCATGAGTGGACTGCATCAGATTTAGGAGCCCTTCGCTTTCAACTGGTTTTTTTTTTTTTTTTTCCTTCTCCCCAAAGGCGACACTTGACCTCTTTCTGTAGACTGCTGTGGAGAACATAATATCATTTGTTAGAGACTTTTATTCCTGCGCCGCCCTCAGTGGGAATCAAACCCCCTAAAACCTTTAGCAGCGTTAGTGTCATTGTCTCACCATGCAGCTACACAGAACCTCCGCTTGTCACTACAGTTTGTGCGCTGAATAGGAAGCAGGGAGGCAAAGAGAATCGGCCTGACAGCTCTTTTGGACACGAGTGAGTGTTTTTAGTTTTGAAACACTGCACGAGTGTTAGCGACCGGCCTCGGCGCGAGGGACCGAAATACACGTGTGCCAGTGTATTTACTGTGCTGGCGCACGGTGATAATGTCATCGTGTCTGTCGTGTGTATCTTGGAATCACAACACCCCGGGCAGCTGTTTGCACACAGACACACAGACCTAAGCAGAGAGCAGTGATAGGGAATAATCCCAACATCCATGTGCAGCACAGGAATCTGACAGATACACCCTCACTCCAACAAAACACCCAACAGCGGCGGGAAATATAGGTCAACCCAAACTAAAACACGAATAACAGATGGGCTCGTGTCAAAGTCCAAACGTGTGAAGCAGTGAGTAAATACCCCCCCACCGGAGCACTCAAGCCTGACGGACAGTGTGTATTGACTAATCCATACTCCCACAGTGAGCTCGTGACAGCAGACAATTTAACAGCGAAAACTCCGCAGTCCTTCCTCCTCCGGCTCCGAGAAACCTTCACCCCTCCCTGTAGTTTGGCCATTGACACATCAAATACTCGAACAACCACCACACTGGCACCACCGGAGGAAAATGGTCCCTCGGTCCCGCGCAGCCTCGGCTGAAGGGTTTGCAGCGACTTCGAGGCGAAGAACTTTAATGGAACAGAAACGTAATGAGCTTCTCGGACACATCGAGGCGAAGAGGTCGTCACATGACGCGCAACGAGCTCCTCATCGTGTTTCTCTCCAGTTTCACTAAAATGTGTCAAAGGTA